TCTTCTTCTTCTTCTTCTTCTTCTTCTTCTTCTTCTTCTTCTTCTTCCATTCAATCTTGTCTGATTCTTAGAGGCTTCCTGGACAAATCCCTACTTTACTAGAAGGTATATAAGAGGTTCTAATACTGTTACTACCATAATACGTGTTACTCTATTAAACAGAGAGATAGAATCAAGTTTACGTGAAGCGTTAATACCATTTTATGAGGCCTTGGTAAGGCCACACTTGGAATACTGCATCCAGTTTTGGTCCCCACGATGTAAAAAAGATGTTGAGGCTCTGGAAAGAGTGCAGAGAAGAGCAACGAAGAGGATTAGGGGGCTGGAGGCTAAAACATACGATGAATGGTTGCAGGAACTGGCCATGGCTAGTCCAGGGAAGAGAAGAGCCAGAGGAGACATAATATCATCTTCCAATATCTCAGGGACTGCCACAAAGAAGAAGGGAGAACTTATTCTCCAAAGCGCCTCCAAAGCAGGATAAGAAGCAATGGATGAAAACTAATCAAGGAGAGAATCAACTTAGAACGAAGGAGAAATTTCCTGACAGTTGGAACAGTTAATCATTGAAACAACTTTTCTCCACAAGTTGTGGGTGCTTTGTCATGGAAGTTTTGAAGAAGAGATTGGACAACATTTGTCCGAAATGCTGTAGGGTTTCCTGCCTAAAGCAGAGGGTTGGACTAGAAGACCTCCAAGGTCCCTTCCAACTCTGTTATTCTATTTTATAACAAGCACGATCATATTATATGATAAGAGTTGGAAAGGACCTTGAAGGTTTTTGAGTCCAAACCCCTGGTCAAGCAGGAGACAAATGGTCTCAGACAAATGGTTGTTCGATGTCTTCTTAAAAGCCTCCAGTGATGAAGCACCCACAACTTCCACTGGCCAATTGTTCTCACAGTTAGGAAGTTCCTTCTTAATTCCAGGTTGCTTCTCTCCTTGATTAGCGTCCATCCGTTGCTTCTTGTCTTGCCGTCTTTGAAAATAGGTTGACCCCCCTTTTCTTTGCGATAGCACCTCAAATATTGGAACCCTGCTATCATGTCTCCCGTAGTCCTCCTATCTAATCCCTATCCCACATATCCTTATATCTAATGGTTCTTCAAGGTTTTCGTCTGACTGTCAACCCTACAGTTTCTCCATCTTAGCAGCTTTAAAGCTATTTGGGCTTCAACTCCCAAGATTCCCTAGAAAGCAAGCTATGGAATTCTGGGAGTTGAAGTCCACTCAGCTTTAAGTTGTGGAGACCGACAACACTGCAAGTGCGCTCCAAATGCCGGATGCTGGCGATTAGATATACAAGAGCACCCTCTCCTGGACAGCCTCAAGTGCTTTTTTGAACCTGTAAGAAAGACATGCAAGAATCAGTGGAAACACCCGCTTTGATAGTTTGATGCTTTTATGTACACTTCAGCCATCTTGCATTGATAAACAAAATAATCTGGATGTGACAAATACATACGAAGGTACCAAGTGAAGAGAACTAGGAGTAATAGAAGCAGAAGCCCATCGAAGAGTGCCACAATAGATTGCCCAACCCGTGTGATGACATTCCCTTTTCAGCAAATTTAAATCTTCCCTCCTTCAGTGTCAAGAGCCAAAACATGCATTCTGTTCTGACTCAGCTCCTCAAACACGACCAACCCTTTGAAGTGAACTCAAAAGATGCCTTTATTAGGAGCGCCAACAGCCCTGGGCAAAAGGTCCCTCTCTTACCACAGGCTAACAAGTCCATCCAGCTGGGAGATGAGCTTGGGTGGGGCTTTGCTAGCAGCAGTAGCTCTTCTGTCCCAAAGACCGGCCCATAGATTTCCAGTGCTCTCCTCTCCTCTGCCTTCTGTTCATCTGTGCGTGGAGAAACACTGTGACCAGGTGTTCCTCCTCTTCCTCATCAGCCACCTCCAGACCTGGGGGCTGTTGACTCTCCATCTGAGGGCTGATGGACGGATGATCCAGTCTCTGCCTCTGTCTCTCTCTCTCTCTCTCTGACGGCTCCATTCCCTCTTCCTCCTCGGAGCTCCCAGGTTGCCTTGCTCTTAGCTCTGACTCCCACACTACCACCACCTCCTCCTCCTCCTCCCCCTCCTCCTCCTCCTCCTCCTCCTCTGATTTGGTTGCTGGAGGGGCCGGTGGCTGACAGGCCACAATACATTCTTATTCCAATACTGTCTTCATGTTTTCTTTCCTGGGGAATCATACGGATTCCTTCTCCAATCTAACTATGGCTTCCGGATGACCACACCACTTACAATCTAGATTCCAGTTCCAATTATGGTCATATGTCAAGGACTACCTTATACGTCAAGATCCAGAGCACCTCGTAAATCGTTCCAGGCACCAAAGAGAAGTTGTGCCCCATTCCAGAACTATTTTGGAAGTCATAAGTCTTTTAAAACCAGATTGTACGATGGAGTGGAACATTCCCAAAGCCTTTAATTACACTTCGTCTTCACATGCTCAGTTAGGAAATACTATTAGGGCTCTTCATAAAGTAACACCAGTTTCTTGTTGTTTAAATGAAATGGCCCCCTTGCAATTTTTTTTGTAAAAGTTTTATTCACAAAACATAATACAAATAAAATATCTTTTTTGAGAGCAGCATGATTCCAGGTTATCACATCTCCGTACAGATGTAATCTCAGTGATGCTTGCAGTGATTCACTTAACAACAGTGGCAAGAAAGGCTGTAAAATGGAGCAAAATGTCTCCCTTAGCAGCATAAATTTTGGGCTCAGTTGTGGTTTTAGGTCGAGGAGTACCTGTACTTTTCCCATAATTTTTAGGAAAACTCCAAAAGGTCCGTGTCAGTGTTCCGGCAGTTACCCCTTTTTAAATCATGAGTCTCTTGCCGAACTTACAAAACTTAAAGATTTATTAGGAGTAAACATGCTGGCACTGCCTGGGTGTAGCCTACCCTGAGACACATCATTCATTGTCACCCTTGACCCTGGTTGTCAACTAAAGAGATACTCCTTTGGTCTTTTAGGCTGCCAGAAAAAGGGAGTGAGGGAAAACAAGGCATTCTTGAAATGCCTAGATAATCAACTTGGCAGCCCATAGTTGTCAGAGCATAGGAAGGTTTTTGGAAGCATGATGGATGACTCTTGGAGACGGATGTGTCCCATTGGAGAAGTCACATCTAGGAGCTGGGGGAAAGACCAGGGTCAAGGCGGAAATGTATGATGTGATGTAGTATCGGCTGCACCCATCTAACCCCAACATCGCAATTTCTAATAAACCAATTTACTTTTTCTGAGATGTGGTTATAAACTTTCGATTTGAATGAGGGTGGATTTGTTGGAGCCCTGACACTGGTTTTACCCCCACCCTCTGGGTGTTTCGTAATTCATATTCACCAATGGGACACATCCATAGTCCAGAGTCATCAATCGTGCTTTCCAGTTAGAATTTCGCCAGCAGAAACCTCAGCCACCAAGAAACTATCTTTGAAAGCATTTATGGATTGCAAGCGGCTCACTGCTCCCCCCTCCCTTTCTGTTGGCAACTCTAAAAAGACCAAAGAAATATTTTATGAGTTGGTACTCTGCTGGAAATCAACTGCTCCATACCTATTTCAGCCAACCAGCTTCTGAATTAGGGCGAGAAGTGACTTAACTGATACGAGAACTCCGATCGGATGTGTTTGTTGACCTTGGCTTGATTTCAGTCACAGTGTAAGCACCAATGTGTGTACTTAAGATTATCTCATTTTCACTGTGTGCAAAAGCTCTTGGATATGACTAATTGTAATACTAGCTGTACTGACAACGAGACAATAAAAGAAACAAGTACTGGTCATGTTCTTGTTGTTATACAATCTCGTTTGAAAGTGGCATTCAATTACGATACATGGACCTTCCTCCCTGGTGGCTTTCAAGAAGAGATTGGACTGCCGTTTGTCAGAAATGGTGTAGGGTCCCCTGAATCGCGCGATGACTGAACTGGTTATTAAACCTGGAGAATCCCCCCCTTGCCCCTATGCCTTCTCTTCGATAGGCCAGACATGCCAAATTCTCCCAATCGTTCATCGTTCAATGTAACCTCAGTTAACCTTTGTTGCTGTGGTGGCGCAGCGGTAAGAATGCAGTATTTTGCAGGCTAATTCTGCTGACTGCCAGGAGTTCGATCCCGACCAGCTCAAGGTGGACTCAGCCTTCCATCCTTCCGAGCTCTGACTCTGTAAACCGCTTAGAAGAGGTCTGTAAAAGCACTGTGAAGTGGTATATAAGTCTAAGTGCTGGCGCTCTCTCAGTTTTTATCTCTCTGTCTCCCACTGTGTCTGTCTTGTCTGTCCATCATCTATCTCTACCATCTATCAGAATGCGGTACTTCAGGCTGACTCTGCTCACTGCCAGCAGTTCGATCCTGACTGGCACAAGGTTGACTCAACCTTTAATCACTCTGAAATCGGTTAAATGAAGACCCCGATAACTGGCGGGGCAACAGGCTCTGACTCTGTAATCTGCTTATAAGCACTAAGGGCTATTGCTATTGTTCTGTAAGCAATATTACACCGTTTAGGGAGGAAACCCAGAATCCAAGAGACCGTACAACAATCCGTTTTATTATTTACATTTAAAATTATTCATTTGCTGTACAGCAATCTCCTGTATGGCCGGACCGGGGTGAAAAAGGAGGATGATCACCAATCCAGCCGGGCAGCGAATTGATTCCTCTCTCGGTTAAAAGCAGGCCCCAGGAAGGAAGGCACCATTCAAACACTCGTATTTGGTTAAGCAGCTGTGGGCGCATCGTGCTGAGACGCCATCAGGGCATTGCCTTCAGCGTGGCCATGCGCGATCCCAGATTCTCCTGGAGGTAGTACAAGAGGTGGAGTTCGTAGTGTTCTCCGGATTCAGGGACCCGGATACTGTGCCTCTCCTGCGGATAAATCTGGGGGAGGAAGAAAGCGAAAGAAATCCAGCTGTGACTGGGATGCAGAAGGCTGGGATCCAATCCTCAGGATCTCTGGGGAAGAGGGTGTCAGGTGTTCACCCACCTCAAGGAAATTTAGACTGTTTCTTTCCACCTGGAGCTAAGGAAAGCCGCGTGGTTGGAGGCCAATTTTTGAAAAGAAGGGAAAACAAGGCCCGCTTTCCCCCCCAAAACTGTTGTAAAATCTGGTTACATGACCGAGTGGTGTGGTTAGCCGGCAGCAGGTGCGGACGGCTGAGGAAAGCGAGAACTCGGATGAGGGGCCAGGACCATTAGGGAGCGGACTGCTGCCTTCAGAGATTGTGGGGGCTGGCAGCAATGATGAGGAGGTTCCTGAGGAGCCTGTGTCAAGTGCGTGTGCATGCAGGATTGCTCACAGGCAAGAGCAGCTGCAGCAGCACGGGTGACTCGGGAGTAAGGCTGCAAAGTAATGGCCCCTCCCTCAAGAAGATAAAAGCCAGCTGTGAATAGGACGTTCTTTGCAGGAAGCAAAGAAGTTTTGAAACTCAGCCTCGTGGACATTGCAGTATCTTAGTTGGTATTTGAAGACTCTTGTGTTGGAAAATATTTCTAGGTAACCTAATCTGTTATTCTTGGCAGCCATGCACAGCTTTGGCGAGGCTCGTGCTTATCAAAGTTAATTAATTTGCAGCAGTCTTTTAACTGGGGATTCGTAAGAATCAATAAAAGGTTTGTTCCCTTTGGTTCGTGTTTGTTTTATTGGAAGAGGTTTTGGGTCAGAACACCGAGGGACTCTGCAAATGCCACTAAACATGGCTGTGCTGCCTAGCACTTGAAGTGTGCTCATGTGACCCCTGAGACACTGTTGTGGCCCACCAGCAGCTAGCTGAGTGGACAGTGAGGAGGTTGGGGAGGCGCATGGGCCAGTCCTGGAGTCTAGGGAAGGCGTTGACGAGGGCTCTGCGTCTGAGGCAGAGATGGGGCCAGGGCCGCCTGACAGTTATCAGCTGCCCTCAGAGTCGGAGATCAGTGAGGCAGAAGAACAGCTGGAGCCTGTTCCCAGTGTGTGCAGGCGCAGAGCTGCCAGACGAAGGGAACAGCTAAGGAACAAGGGTCGACTTGGGAGTCGACGGTGAATGGCGCCTCCCCTAGGGAATACAAAAAGGCACGAAAGGGGAGGGGTGTTTGCAGGAGACAATTACTTCATTCCTGCATTCTTGCCAAGTATTGCACTTATGAAAGATATCGGCCTGGCCACTTTCCAAGCCTGATAAAAGTCTGTAAGGACTATGAAAGGATAGCAGAAAAGATCTGTAACCAACTGACACACTGTATGTATATAACTGGAAGATGGTTTTATGTTTTGTCTGTATAAGTTTGTCTTGAAAAACAAAAAAAAATTATATAAAAAAAGTCTGCAATTGGGAACTATCTTGAAAGACTATTGGCCAACAAACATTGCTGGAGAGGAATTCATTGTAAATTAAATAAAAGGGGTTTATTGGGACGAAGGCTCAGCTTTGTGCCATTGGGGGAAGCCGAGGTCAGAACAGGGACGTAAAAAGAGTGGTCGCGTGACCATGAGGAAATAACCCTCAGAGCTGGGTGGTAACTCCCTTGTTCCAGGTACATCGCAACTTCAAAAAGTTGCTAAGAAACAGCGGTAAGGACTACCACTGTACAACAACTTTATTCATCCTAAATTCCTTTTGTAATTTCTCAGTTCTACAAGATTCTGAGAGTCTGAAAGAGCCGCAGGAGGAAAAAGGTTGACCTGGCTGGATTCATTTTATCGGGGGTAGAAGAACAACATCTCTCTTGAGAGTTAGCCAGGAGCTCTCCATGGTCCTGATCCTGCCTCAGCCTTGCTCCCTCTGTGACACCCAGCCCAAACCAGACCCAACTGCCTTTTTAACCCTTGTATTTTAGAGCTGCACAAATTTCTCTGCTACCTGGAGGTCGTAGGGTTTTCCAGCCCTGACCAGGAAGCTCAGCAAAATACTAGTATGTGCAAAATGAACATTTTCATCCAGGAATCCATGTAGTAGCAATAATCGGTTGGGCCTGAAGAAACCGACAAAAAAAGGAGAAAAAATGTAATTAGAAAGACAATCCTTCATAGAAATTAACTATTAGATTTTCCTGCAGAATTTTTCATCCGCTCCAGGAATGCAGTATTTTATAAAAACCACTGAATGACCCAAAAAACAAACAAAAGCTACTCAAAGTTAGCAACTGGGATGAAAATAAAAAAAGCTAAATCCAGCAATAACAGTAGAACTGGTTCTTTTCCAATAATTTCATTGCTCAAGCACATATATTTGGGCCTCAGCTTCTAAGGCATACTCAGATTAATCATTTGTCAAAGCCATCACTTAAATATATATATATATATATATATCTCATTTCAGGTAGTCCTCAACTTACAGCCACAACTGAGCCCAAACTTTATGTTGCTAAGTGAAACATTTGTTAAGTCAGCTTTGTCTCATTTTACGACCTTCCTTGCCACAGGTGTTAAGTGAATCTTTATAGCTGTTAAGTTAGGAACACAATTGTTAAGTTTCCCATTGACTTTGCTTTCAGAAGGTCACAAAAGTGGATCAGATGACCCTGGGACACTGCAACTTTTACCGTCATAAAGATGAACCAGTGGCCAAGCACCTGAATTTTGACCATGTGACCACAGGAATCAGTGGTGGGATTCAAATTTTTTTTACTCCCAGTTCTGTGGGCATGGCTTGGTGGGCGTGGCTTGGTGGGCGTGGCTTGGTGGGCGTGGCTTGGTGGGTGTGGCAGGGGAAGGTTACTGCAAAATCCCCCTCCAACCTGCTTTCCAGCTCCGTTCTCCTGGGCAGGGCGACCAAAGGAGACCCAGCCAATAAGCTGGGACTCAGGAGGCAGAGAAGAGATTGGGATTGGCGGGGCCAGTCAGAGGTGGGATTTGCCGGTTCTCCAAATGACTCAAAATTTCTCCAGAGCTGGAAAGAACCGGCTGAATTCACCCCCTCTGATGGGGAAGCTGTAATGGTCATAAGTGTGAAAAATGGTCATAAGTCACTTTTTTCAGTGCTGTTGTAATTTTGAATGGTCACTGTGAACCGTTGTAAGTTGAAGACTACCTTTATTAGAGATATATACTGTATGTTTCCTTTTTTTTTGTAATAAGAAAAACACTTTTATATTCTTTATTTAAGTGTCACGTCTACTTACTGTGAAGGGAATTTCTCTGCCTGCATAGCTACGGAGCCCAAATAATAGGCCTGCTCGTTGTTGTCTGGGTGTCCCATGTAACGCTCGGTGTAACCCGTGTCGTAGAAAAGCCACAATGTGACTGGAGCACCCGCAACTGCAACCTACACACACACACACACAAAGGCAAATTGGCTGTAAGCCTTGGGCAGAATTATCTCGACTAGATCAAAGCCAGGGGTGGTTATTCTACCGGTTCAGACTGGTTCTGTAGAACCGGTTGTTACGATTCTGCCCAGTTCGAAGAATTGGCAAACCGTGCCCCTGGCTGGCCTCACCCCTCTCCACCCCCTGTCACATGGCCACACCCACCTAGCCACGCCCACCTAGCCATGCCCACAGAACTGGTAGTAAAAATATTTGCATCCCACCCCTGATCAAAGCCTAACCGTATCTATTGCTTCTTGTCCCGGCCTTCTGGTGTTTTGGAAAACAGGGGGATCCTCCCTCGTCTTTGTGGCAGCCCCTCAAATACTGGAATATTGCTCTTGTGTCACCCCCTGATTCTTCTGTACATCCACGTCACACACGTGCCCAAAGGAAGTGAATGGGCCGTGGCAGGGGAACCAACCTTGAAGATCTCCGGCTTCTGAAGCAAGGCCATCAGTGAAAGAAATCCACCATAGGACCAACCATGAATGCCAACCCGGTCTAAATCAATGAACTCGTATTGGGAAGCCAAATACTGCAAGCCCTCCACTTGGTCACTGATTTCAATTTGTCCCTGTTGGGAGGGAGAGAAAAAAAATAAAAGCAGGCATGGAAGAAAATATCACCAAGTGTATAAATGACAGAATAATAGCGTTAGGAGGGACCTTGAGAGTTCTTCTAATCCAAACCCCTTGCTCAAGCAGGTCACCTATTCTGGACAAATACCTGTCTTATCTGTGGTATCTGATGATTCTTGACTCTTGATGAATGTATCTTTTCTCTTATGTACACTGAGAGCATTTGCACCAAGACAAATTCCTTGTGTGTCCAACCACACTTGGCCAATAAAAGAATTCTATTCTATTCTATTCTATTCTATTCTATTCTATTCTATTCTATTCTATTCTATTCTATTCATATTCCCAGTAAAAAAAAAA